GTATTTCATAAATACGGTATATAGTATTATTCCAATCTTTAACTAATTAGTCACTATATGACCAAATAAATCAAGAGTTGACCAAAAGTCAACTGTTGACCAAAAAGTCAACTAGTTGACTAAAAGTTAACTTTATGGGAAAAATACTGGAATTCATTTCCTAAGCACATAGCATTCCGATTTTACCGATATACATAACCGTTTATGTGTATCCGGAAGAAATCATATATGCGTATCAATCATACGCATCACTCCATAAATTGTGTTTCATAGGATTCAAGTACGCGCTTGGTGTGACTCTAGGGCCCAACTTAAAAAAAACTCGGTAGTGGATCATATCCATAAGTACAACAGAGGTGCTAGCTACACATGAAGACCACCCGGGTATAAGTTGTGATAAAGGTCTGCAAGATGCTTATCCAATTTTATCAGGACCACTCAATGATAATACCGTACAGTCCGGTCTCTTCGTCAAACCATGTCAAACTATTGAGCCTAGGGTATGGCAAACTGTCAAACCCTAATAGCTTGATTAGTGTTTATTGATATTAAACTCATAACCTATAAGATCAAACTGACACTCAGTTTATCTTATTCACCTTGGCCAAGGATTTCCAGGCTATAGTTATATCAAACAATCTTATGACATCAACCCCTATACTGGGAGAGACGAATCCCTTCTTGGCATCTCAATATCTACTTATGTCTCGGGATGTACCCAACAAGAACCGTTATGCACAATTCAATAAGAACTGTGGTTAGGTAAAAGTCTAAATACATCTTTACTGACATATAAGATATTGCACTCATGCCTCAGGTCAAGAGACTACTATGTACTATATCACTTGAGAACTTCTATTTGACAGTTAAGTATATTACCAACTAGATGTTCTCGGCGAGTCGTTCAGTCAACTCATTCACTAATGAGTCACCTGTATACTGTATCTTGATGTCTCACATCAATGATCTAAGAGATTGATCATCTCCTTCAAAAGGAGAAATAAAGCATACACTAGTCTAAACCAAAGTGATGATGTCCTATCTCAACACTTCATCAACTAGGAACATTTTAGAATATACGTTACCGACTAATCAGATCTCTTCATTACGATCACTATCCGAAATGTCTGATAGTCTAGTATTTATTCTAAGGACATTATCTGTATATTTAGAACATCAGATAAATCTGACCAAAATAGCATACTATCATTTTGAACAAGGATGTTATATACATATAGGTCCTGTTACAATATACAATAATTGCCTGCAGGGCACCTATATCTAACAAACTCCCACTTGCACTAAGGCCAATTATAGTATCTAATACCCAATAGCTCAACAAGTTTCTCAAATTGTGAACGAGCAATTGCCTTTGTGAATGGATCTGCTATATTATCTTTTGTGTCTACTCTTTCAATCTTGATCTCCCGGCGATCAACTATCTCCCTGATCAAGTGATACTTCCTCAGAATGTGTCTGGACTTATGGTGAGATCGGGGTTCCTTTGTCAGAGCTATTGCAGGTTAGCCCGGACCCGAGCTCACCGCTGCCCGACGCCGACCCGAGTTCGCCAACGTTCTCCTCCGCATCAGATCCGAACGTCGTTAGCCCGGACCCGAGCTCACCGCTGCCCGACGCCGACCCGAGTTCGCCAACGTTCTCCTCCGCATCAGATCCGAACCACTCCGTCGACATCGATTTGGTCAACGCGCCGAGGCAAGATCTCGCCACTTAATTAGTATCATTTTATAATTATTATTGTTAATTATCTTGGTTAGATATATTATTTTGATTAATATCATTATTGTGGTTAATGTGATTATTGAATATCTACGTGAAATAAGGATGTGTGATACTAGCTTAAATCTGAAAGTTAACAAGCATGAAATGTCGAGCGCACGAGTGGAAATTAGATTAATAATGTTGTTAATTGCATTATTAAGAAATTAACGAACATGAAATGATGAGCGTATGGGTTGAAATTAGATTTTAAGAAATATTGATAATTTTGTATAATTATAACTAAGAATTTACGGACATGAAATGATAAGTTAGGTGTTAAAATTAGATTTTACGAAATATTATCGAAAAAGAAATAAATTAAAGGTAATTTATAAAATAGGCAAATGTTACTATTCATACAGAAAAGAATTAACAAATATATATATATTACATAAATATTTTATTTTAAATTAGTTATAATGAGAAATAGTTTTAAAGAATAATTTTTTTGGAAAAAAAATATTTATTAAATAAGAACGTATAACTGATAATCGTAGAGCACGATATTTCATGTGCAAAACGACATCAATTTCTAGTTTTTTTTACCACATTATTATATTTAGGGATATTTAATTACGATTAGCTTACATGAGAAGTGTTGACACCCAGTAGTAAGTTATTAATGAAACCTATTTATGTGTTCATTCACTCTGTGGTAGGCTGTTCATGCATTCCATATTTTAATGTAGTGATTATTCATGCTTTATAAACTTGTTTAATCATGTTTGACATACCATGTTATTATTGTATAGAATTAGTTTTATTTATTATCTCTTGATGTGATTGAGAACCCTTAGTAGTTTATGATTTAGTGGTCTCGTGCGTCATGAATAGACCTAGTGACACATGTGGGTGTGTTGACTGAGTTTAGGTGGTGAACCAGAGTTTACTAGGGATTAATTGTTGACTTAGAAAATAAGAAGAGTTGGGATGGGGAAGTCATGATTCATGTGATCAGATAAGGCTGTTGATGTATCTTCCACACTCGCACCAGTGAACCGTTTCGCACTGGGGTTAGTTTGTTGGGCCAAGTGAACCATTTTGTACTTGGTCAATGAAATCGTTTCGTCACCTGAGTTTTGCTTGAGTTCGAACCAGGTCAAAATCGGATTGCGTGTAGTCCTCTCACCGATCCGTTTCACGGGTTTGGATGCATGTAGGGGCTTTGTTAGTAGTTAGCCTTATGATTATCATAAGATTTAGTAGTGTTTTCGCATGTTGATTTTATTAGATTTCCAGTTGTATGTATCAGTGTCTTTCCTATTAGTATTATTACTGTCATAGCATGGGTCATACGACCGTTTCATTTTTCCATATGAGATCTTGTCGTGTGCCATGCACGCTGACGTATACCTATTTTCTCTTGTGTGCGTCAGATATAGGGGACGAACATGTCCGATTCGATGATGCAGCAAAGCCAGTGTTTACCCAGCCGGAGTATCCTTCTGATGGAGTAGAAGAACAAACTGAAGCGTAGTGGTTTTCTTCTGTAGTAGTTGTGGGATATTAGAACTCTTTTACAATTTTTTTCTTTAGTTTGATGATGGATTTAGTTATTTTATTAGTATTTCCTTTTATCATGGACTATGTATTTTTATTCCTAGTTGGACCGTTTTTGTAATAAGGGTATGTTTGACCCATATGTTTATGTCTGGGATGATTTACCATTGATGATATATCTATTTCTTATTCTGGATTGTTATTATATTCTTGCTATTGTGATCAAGGACCAATAAGTGATATTCTTGTGTTTGACGCTTAGCGTATTAGATTGAGAAGAAAAAAAAGAAAAAAAAGATAGTGTATATTTCTTCTCAATCTAATACGTCGCGGGCTTGTTCACGTTCCGATTCCTGGATATTTTAGGAAGCGGGGCATGACAGGTTTTAGTGGTGGCTCATGCAGGTCATGGCCCCGAGTCCTCACTACTAAGAATATAGTGGACAATTTAGTTATATATCATATTTCATCCGTAAGACTACAATTAAGTTCTTATACTATTATCTTAATAACTATGTTTTAGTTCCTATTTTCCCAATATGTTGTTTTTATTTTAACCTTTGTTTTCCTCTTGATCCTTACTTTCCTTCAGAACCATGGTGGGTACGCGTGGCTATAGTAATCCGTCTGGTAGCAGTGCCTTGCAGCCCAAAGTGGACCCAAACCAACTTCTGGCGATGATTCAAGAATTGGTTACTAATCAGCAGCACCTGGCTGGGTAGCTACACAAGGAGCCTCAGCATCAGCCTGCCCCTCGCGTACAATCTAGTGTTAGAGAGTTCCAGTACATGCGACCGCCTTCCTTCTCTGGTGCTGAAGGTCTCTTAGTAGCGGAGGAGTTTCTGAAGGTCACTGAGACTATTCTCACGGTGACCCGTATTGCCCTTGCTGAATGGGTAGATCACATGGATATTCAGCTCACCGATACTACTCGGATATGGTGGGTAGCTGAGAAGACCCATTTGGAGAGGCCAATCCTATGAGAGATATTCACCGAGCGCTTCAACATGAAGTATTTTTCTCAGTCGGCTCGGGACGAACTCCAGCATAGGTTTGTTAAGCTCAAGCAGGGAGGCCGATCAGTTGATGAGTATGAGGCCGAGTTCTCTTCCCTGAGTCAATATGCTCCCCATCTGGTTACAGACCCTACCATTAGGAAGCATCAGTTCCAGAAGGGTCTGGATAAGTATATTAGGTTTGCTCTGGCTGGTAGAGTACTTGCGACTCACGATGTAGTACTAGATGCAGCACGTGAGATTGAGAGCGTGCAGAAGGAACCTGAAGACCCATATGTGATTCAGAGTAGGGTACCAGTAGTTCCAGCTAGGACTGTCAAGCATCCTTCCCTGAGGCAATAGCAGCAGGCCCCGCAGAGGCAGTAGCATTCTCAGCGTCAGCCACCCCCTCATGCTCACCCTTATCAGCACCCTGGAGTGTAGCCTCATGGCCAGTCTTCAGTGAGGTGTTCTTATTGTGGCTATTCCGGGCATACTCGCTATACCTGTGGGTTCTCCGACCATATCAGTCCAAACTATCCGCAGAAGCAGCAGGTTCGTTTGCCTACACCTCCAGTTCGAGCAGCTCTTCCAGCTCTGCCTCGATTTGTGCCAACAGCACCGCCTCAGCACATACCTTATTCTCGAGTAGGGCCACTTCCTCCATAGTAGTAGGTTTATCAAGAAGCACAAAGGCAGCAACCACCGTGTCATATGTTTATGATGTCAGCCGTAGAAGTTGAGGCGAATGACCAGGTTATCACTGGTAAGAATTGTTCATCTAAGTTTTACATGCATATGAACTTCCTTATTTAGCATTACCTAATGATATCATGATAATATTGTTTATAAGTACTAAGTTAGTTGCATTTACCACCTCCTATAATAGGCAAGGTTCTTGTTTCTTCCATTCCTACTTTATCACTCTTTGACTCTGGAGCTTTCCATTATTTCTTGTCTCTTCGATTTGCGGGTGTCCATTCTCTTCCTATAACTCCTCTAACTACAGGCTGGAATATCAACACTGGCAGTGGTGTCTTAATAGCATCCAGTGGTTATGAAGCATGCCCTATGGTCATCTGCGGGAGGGAACTCTTTTCAAACTTTATGGTGATTGATTTGCCGAGTTTTGATGTAGTATTTGGGATAGATTGGTTGGGGACATTCTTTGCCACCATTGATTGTTGTTGTCGGAGCGTAGTATTTGAGATACCGGATCACCTGAGGTTTGAGTTCCTCAGTGGCAGCACATCGACCAGACCTGTAGAGTACAGAGCTAGACAGAAGAAGGCGATGTTAGCTACAATGCAAGTGGAACCCGAGAAACCAGATGTAGTTCGAGAATTTGAAGATTTGTTTCCCGATGATATTTACGGATTGCCACCGGATCGAGCAATTGAGTTTTCCATAAATTTGAAGCTTGGAGTTGCTCTGATCTCCAAGACCCCTTATCGTATGCCTTCGACAGAGTTGGCCGAGCTTCGGACTCAGTTGGATGACCTCTTGTAGAGAGGCTTGATTCGACCTAGTCTATCGGCCTGGGGAGCACCTGTGTCTCTTGTGGGAAAGAAGGATGGATCCAAGCGGATGTGCATTGACTACCGGGGGTTGAATACGGTGATAATGAAGAATAAGTATCCACTTCCCCATATCGATGATATCTTCGATCAATTAGGAGGATCGAGAGTATTTTCTAAGCTTGATTTGTAGAGTGGGTATCACCAGGTGAAGGTTAAGGATTCTGATTTCCCCAAGACTTTGTTCCGGACGAGATATGTATATTATGAATTCTTAGTGATGCCGTTTGGTGTGACTAATGCGCCGACGACATTCATGAACTTGATGAATCTGGTATTCTATGATGTACTGGATAAGTTCGTGGAAGTCTTTATTTATGACATATTTGTGTACTCTAAGAGTGAAGCAGAGCATGCATAGCATTTGCGATACGTGTTGAAGACCTTGAGAGAGCATCGGCTGATACGAGCGGCCGCGCGAGCACCTTTGATCACGAAATTATCAAAGGTGGGTTGAGAAAAAAATAACATGAACACAAGAAAAATTTAGTGGTGGCGAAGGAAAATACCTTCTGTAGATTATGAGAATAAAATAACTTACAATCTCTCACAATCTCACTAGAACTGAAGAACAATCTCTCTCAATTCTCCAAATACAATCTAATTTCTCCTGATTGTTTTAAAACACTAAAACAATCCCTTTTATATATGGAACAACGTGAATGGTAAAGTGGTAAATAACCAAGCCCAACCCCCACAGGAATTCGTGCAAACAGAAACCTAAATGAACCAGGAAACCATTAATGAGTCGACTCATGTGCATTTATGAATTGATTCATATCATATGGGTCGACTCATGATAGTCATGAGTCAACTAGTCAGAAACTTCTAACAAAACGGCTGGGTTTCGTGAGTAGACTCATGACAGTCATGAGTCGACTCATGACACATGGGTCGACTCATACAGTGATGAGTCGACTGGTCAGAGACTTTTGATAAAACGGCTGAGTTTCATGAGTCAACTTATGACAGACATGAGTTGACTCAACCTGATGAGTTGACTCATGACTATTATGAGTCGACTCACGAGCTAAAAACTAGATGCTTCGACTCTTCGATTCGTCGTCTCGTTCCACGCTTCAACTTGCATTCCATTGTGCTCTTTTACACCTCTATTCTCAAGCTACCATGAGAATCATCTATCCTCATGCTCCCATGAGGATCGCTAAGTTTCAAAGAGAAGATACACCTGTATCATGAGTCTCCCCTTTAGGAACTTGAAGTCCCATTCAATTTAGAACTTCAGCTAAGAAAACTCACAAGCTCCTCCTTCCCTGTCATTAACAGGAATCTCCACTTTGAAGTCTATCTTCAAATTCTGGTAAGAACCCTTACCCCCTTGGTATGAAACAGACTTAATGATATGGGCCTCCTCATCTGAATCAGAATCCTCACCTTCTCCATCGTACTCCACAAGTTTCTTCTTGCCTTTTGAAGGAGATTCCTCCTTGTTTCCTTTGTCTTAGACAAGATTGACGAGTTGCACGAGGGTCGAACCCATTGTCTCCACCTGCTTCTCTAATGCATCTAGCCTTGCTGAACTGTCTTCTTTAGTCATCTTCTTCTTCCTTAACTTCTGAACTCCTTCCAATGAAATAAGGATCTCGCTTAGCTTCTTGTATTGCGATTGAATCAGGACCATACATAGGATACCCCCTTCATAGGATCTTATCACTCTAATACCAACTTAATACGAGTCGCCGTGTGAGCATCTTTGATCACGGAATTATCAAAGGTGGGTTGAGAAGAAAACAATAAGAACATAAGAACAATTCATTGGTGGTGAAGGAAAATACCTTCTGTAGATTATGAGAATAAAATAACTTACAATCTCTCACAATCTTACTAGAATTGATGAACAATCTCTCTCAATTCTCCAAATACAATCTAATCTCTCCTGATTGTTTTAAAACCCTAAAACAATCCCTTTTATATGTGGAACAACGTAGATGACAAAGTGGTAAATAACCAAGCCCAAACCCTATAGGAATTCGTGCAAACAGAAACCCAAACGAACTATGAAACCATCGATGAGTCGACTCATGTGCATGTATGAGTCAACTCATGACATATGGGTCGACTCATGACAGTCATGAGTCGATTGGTCAGAAACTTCTATCAAAACGGTTAGGTTTTGTGAGTCGACTCACGACAGTCATGAGTCGACTCATGACACATGGGTCGACTCATACAGTGATGAGTCGACTGGTCAGAGACTTTTGACAAAATGGCTGAGTTTCATGAGTCGACTTAAGACAGGCATGAGTCGACTCAACCTGATGAGTCAACTCATGACTGTTATGAGTCGACTCACGGGCTGAAAACGTGATGCTTCGATTATTCGGTTTGTCATCTCGTTCCACGCTTCAACCTGTGTTCTACTATGCTGTTTTACACCTCTATTCTCAAGCTATCATAAGAATCATCTATCCTCAAGCTCCCATGAGTATCGCTAAGTTCCAAAGAGAAGATACACCCATATCATGGGTCTCCTCTTTAGGAACTTGAAGTCTCATTCAAGTTAGAACTTTAGCTGAGGAAACTCCTAAGCTCCTCCTTCCCTGTTGAACCACTTAACCTTGCTAGGTACCTGACCTTGACGTCCAATGAGAAATGACTTCTTCGTCCCCCGCCTCATCGTGGTCGTCTTCCGCTCTAAAATACAATCTTCTTTTAGTAGCTCTTCTCTATCAAACCATAAGTCTTCAACATGTGGTAAGATCACCTTGCGTCACCTTCACCATCCAGCAATGGTGGCTCGAACAACTTCAAATACTCGGCATTGATCACCGAATACATGCCTAAGTAAGGTGGCAAATCTAGCCTGAAGGCATTATCACCAATCTACTAAAAAATCCGAAACGGACCATAACGTATAGGTTTCAACTTCTTCCCTTCTCCCTTTAGCCTCTCCTTACTCAATTTTAGCCATACCATGTCACTTATGCCAAAGTTACAAAGAACCTGATGCTGATCATGCTTCACCTTGTACTTGGCTTATGATTTTTTTAATTGAGCTTCAACCATAGCATGAATATGTGCAATCTTCTCCAGAAATCACTGAGCATGTTGTCTCTCACTCCCTTCCTTGCCGCCGGCCGTAGCTTCACTAAGAATCCATAACACGTTTCAAATGGTGACTTTCTGATGATCCATGAATTGCCCGATTGAAAGCAAACTGTAAGTATGGTAAGCTCTCATCCCAAGTCCTGGGATGCTTAGAATTATACCCCCTCAACATATTCACCATAGTTTGGTTGACCACCTTCGTTTGCCCGTCTTTTTGTGGATGAAAGGTCATGCTCTTCTTCAATCTCGTGCCCATCAAACTCTACAAAAAATCCCAAAAATACCCAAGAAAACGGCTATCCCGATCCGAAATAATCAAACTCGGCAACCTAAAATGCTTCCACACATGCTTAAAGAACAATTGCACTGCACCTGCTCCCATCACGGTCTTCTTACATGGAATCAAGATCACCATCTTACTGAATCAGTCCACCACAACATACAAATAGTCACACCCGTGCTTGGTTATCGGCAACCCTCCTAGAAAATCCATAAAGATGCTCTCCCACCGTCTAGAAGGTACCGGTAATGGTAGGTGCAATCCTCTCTTCCTGTTAGAAAGCTTCAAAATGAAACATAAGTTACACCCTCTAACATACTTAGTAACATCATCTAGCATCTTTGGCCAAAACACATGTCGTCGTAGATTGAGAAGCATCTTCTGAATCCCAAAATGTTCTTGCACACGTGAGATATGTGCTTCTCTAATCCACTGCAGCCTGTCACCATCCTCCGGAATACATAGCGATGTCCCTCGATACAACAAACCATCTACACAAATCTCGTACTCCCCCTTTCGACCAGCCTTCACCTTCTCAAACACACTGCTGAAATCTCGGCTGGATGTGTACATTTGTACATACTCTAAAGGAACCAAGGGCTGAATGCGCGTCCCCACCAAGAGAGCTCTCACGTGTGGGTGAGATAACATATCGGCTAACTTATTCGTCGTTCCCTTCTTATACCTAATGATGATATTGAAAGCCATCAAATAGGACATCCACTTCATGTGCCGTGCCTACTGTAGCTTCGTTTGGGCATGTAAGAACTCTAATGGTTTGTGGTCTGAATGCACAACCACCTCCTTACCCAACAAATATACCCTCTAATGTTTGATCGTTTGATAAAGTGCATAGAACTCCTTATCGTAGGTAGGGTAGTTTTGAATAGAACCCGTAAACATCTCTGAATGGTACTCCACCGGCTTACCATCCTGAATCAACACAACACCCATAGTATAACTAGAAGCGTCGGTCTCCACCTCGAAGGTCCTCTGCAAGTTCGGCAAAGCTAACACCGGTGCCTCCAAGATCTTCTTCTTTAGTAGCTGAAAAGCTTCCTCATGCACCCTACCCCACACAAACTAAACCTTCACCTTCGTAAGGTCATGCAAAGGTGCCGCATAAGTAGAAAAATATCGAATGAACTTGTGCAAATACTGGCAATCCCTCATGAAGCTTCTCACCTCCGTCACTATCTTAGGTGTCGGCCACTTCGTGATCACCGCCACCTTGCATGGATCTATCCTCCGTTGGTCTTTCCCCACGATGAACCTGAGATACACTAACTCGTCCTTCTCGAATTTGCACTTCTTCCTGTTAAGCTTCAGCTATCCGTTCTGTAGCACTTCAAACACATTCTCGACATGAACAAGATGCTCCTCCTAGGTCCTGCTGTACACCAAGATATCATATAGGTAAACTATCATAAAATCCTGTATAAAGGGTCGCAACAAATTGTTCATAAGTCTCATAAAAGTAGCGAGAGCATTGCACAACCCAAACGACATCAACAACCACTCAAACATGCCCTGCTTGGTCTTGAACGCAGTCTTCCAAGTGTCATCCTCTCGAATCATCACCT